AGTATACGGGTTTTGCCTAGTCGTCGAAAGACACAGATTATACCACCAGACAGAGATTTATGCACCCAGCAGAGCGAAGTGGCGATTTAAGACTATTTATGCTTAGTCTTTAATCGCCATAAATTTTATGGAGTCCATAAATTGATGACTCATCACTGTTTCACTCTTTTCATTCATCCAGTCATGTAACATTACTAAGCCCGATTCAGTTTCTTAACAGTATTGAGTTTATATCAGTGGATAACAAATATGGTTCCAAAATATGCGGGAGATGATACCAGAATCTTTACTTGAGAATCTCAAGTTGAGATTATTCGATTCGTGCTGAGATATACCTATGCGCTTCTGCGAGGGCTAGACTGTTGTCCATGCAATCCAGAGCATGGTGAGCAGAGTGTTCGAGACCCAAACTCAAACCAGACTCAATTGACTGCTCGTACCCGGTATGACATACCGCCTCTCACAGACCTTATGAGAGGCATAACCCCTGACCTGAACAATCCTAGACACGGGTATAGGATGGTCAGTGTAATCCACCATAGTATTAGAGCTCTTACCACTTCTAGTCAGTACCATGAATAACTTATTGAACTCAATATCTGTCACTTGACAAATACCGTATACTATCCCTCAGCTGTTGATGGAAGCGTAGCCACTAGCGGGTATACAATAATAAAAACGTATACCTTAGACCGTGACCTAAGTCCAGGCTCCAAGGGAAGATTCAAACTTCAGAACCAACCTTGAAACTTAAAGTGCGTGACACGCCCGCGTTCACGCATGAATAATAGACAACACGCATGCAAAGACTGTGGTAGGAGGATCTGCCCACTCCTGTTGGCCAGTCTGTTAGCTGCATTGTATCGATTGTTCGCTATATGTAAATCGACTCCGTTCGGCCATTGTCAGCTACCTTTTTGTTGTCGTCCCCCTGTGCGGCCCTGCCTGTGCGGAATAGACAGTATAAGGCGAGCGCGAGGGCCTTATCCGTAGCTAACGTGTGCATGCGTCAAACGATCGATTACATTCAGAGTCTTTCGAGAGATTCTTTTGAGGATTACTGTTGGCACTCCTGCCAACCTTGTCGACCGCAGCTAAGTATTATCTTATACCTGTATCTACCCTTGGGATTGTGTTGCCAGAGTCACTAGCATTGACTACCTATAGTATCAATCGACGACCCGATCACGACTTCGAGTATATCCGTCCACAAGACCATGATTCGTACAAAGCAATATAACAGCCTTAACACAGTAGAACCGTAACGAAATGATATCATACTAACGGTATAGCGTGGTCACACGTTAGCAGGGCTCCGTACTCTGCACTGAACCGCACAGTATACGGCGTATACTATACGCTAGTGTGGCCACGAGTGTTTCTTTTCGGAGCCGCTCGCTCGCGGTGGCAACGAAAATCCCATGGTCATCTGTCGGAAATTATCTGATATGATGATTCATCATTGATGAACACCTCATCATGAACTTCAGTATCACCTTCGAGAGTCTCCAACTAAGAACTAACTAAGAACTGCCAAGTTGACGCAACCGTCATCCGCGGAATTCCGTCATGCCATGAAAATCAGCAAACACGTTTCAGCGACAAGTTACGGTGAGTACTGGTTGTAAACTGAATACGCACAAGTTTTAGGCAAATTATGCTTGTAGAATAGTTTTCATCTATTAAACTGATTCATTGGCGAATTCCGAATGACGCCATTCACGACGAGGAATACGCTGATCCCTAGTTTAGTTTGGCTGTGTTGAAAGGATTCGCCTAACAGTGCCAAAATTATGGTCCTATCCTGGGGCCTATTTCACAAGCGTCCTAATGTTAGGATTTTAACCCATTAGGATGCAATTTAAGGATAAATGGCGCTCACAAGGGTCCTTTCCTTAGGTTGGGTTAGGACTTTAGGACATTAGGATCCTTACCGTTAGGATTTAGGATATTAGGATGCCTTTATCCTCAAAAACAGGCTGT